TAAGAATGTACTAAGAGTTATTGACTATTTCTAAGAATGTACTAAGAGTTATTGACTATTTCTAAGAATGTACTAAGAGTTATTGACTATTTCTAAGAAGGTAAGCTCTCATTAAACACCAAAAATGAAAAATGATATTTCTACTATTATCAGATCCAAGATATTGGTACACTTTTTTTGTGTTCAACCTTCAAAATATATAAAATTATTATTCACAATTTCTTTAACACAAAAGTAATACAGTCAAAATATTTGCATTGTCTAAACTTCAATTTTACAATTTTATCTTATTGTAGAGGAACTAAAAGTTTGATTTTAAAGAGCTCTTTCAGATGGAAAAGCAAATATTGATACTATCTAATTCAAATTAGATAACTATTATGTCTGTTTTTTGTTTTCTTTTATTGTTTGTCTCCAATGTAATTTTACAAGTTTTCTACCACAATCTTGTTCTAGACATGTTACATTTAACCAATCAAAATGAGTCCAGCAGAGCCTGTTTCTTGATTACAAAGCCAATTATGGGATAGCAAAATCCATAGTAGAGTAGTATGACAGATATCCCACTATTCGTTATACTATTCGTTATATTATCAAAAAAGGCTTGTATATAACATGCTTTGATTGGTTAAAAACAGTATCAATAGAACAGAATGCAGTAGAATACGTGTTAGATGACAATAGAGATGAAAAATATCAGAAAACACAAAAAGAAACTTTTAATCTACTTTTCATTAGATTGATATTGACAAAAGAATATTCCTTTAATTAAAGGTATACTACCCCTTAGGGTGACAAAAAATGAAAACTTTTAAGTTGGCCAAAATGAGTCTTCATTCATCAGTGGACTTGCCTGGTGTCATAACTATACAACAGAATCCCTCTATAATCCAATATATCCATAAAACTAAGAATTCACTAAAAACTTAATAATTTTGAAACATCCTTTGAAGAGTGTTTCAATATATAACTTTGTTTAATGGATATATCATCTTATATAGAGGTTCTATACTTTAGTCATGTTAAGTCCAAACTGATGAATATATAGTCTTATTGACCAAGTTTGAAAATTTTATGTTTATTCTAAGGAGTAGTATTCCTTTAAAGAAACTCTTGTAAAAGCATACAAAAATAAGCTATATAAGTATGTACATGTTAATAAGTTTATTTAATATCACTAGTTGCATTGGCTTGTTGAGATAGAAACATTTTTATTCTTTGTAATAATTCCTCTTTTACTTTATCAGGAACCAAGGCTGAAATAACAAAAACAATAAATTTATTGACCCAACACAGAAATAATTTTCTTATATTTTGATATGATAGTCTACAAAATACAGGTACATGCAAATTGCAACAAAATGCTCAACAAGGTAAAACCTTAACAAGCACCATTTTAACTTCCTGCACTATGTTTGAGAATCAACTTTTTTTTAACAGATGAGAGGTTTAGTAGTCTGAAAGCTCAGAAAATTAGGCAATAAACTCTTCAAGTTATGGAACCTATTATGCCTTTATGTTTGAAGCACAGTGGCTGGTGTAGGCGCCATTACCAAGTAACGTCACATATTGTCATACACTATCACTTCAAGTGCAGGGTATATGAGGTTTTTTAATTTTTCTACACACTCAATGTTCTAAAGGGCAAATGTAAACTAATTGACACAATTGTAAAAGAAGGGGATAAGGAATTTGACAGTGGGGGCCGAATCCAGGACTTGGCTGCCATAGCCCACCTCTTCACTGTCACTGTTCCCAGTGATACTCACCTCTTCCTCTAGGTGTAATCTCTGCCACTAAATCATCAACAGTAACATGTGCTAGACCTTTCTGTTGTACAACATCTAAAAAAGGAAAAGACAAATTCCTTTTTCCTATAATCTTAGCAGATGTTATTAAAATTTAATAAGCATCATATGCCTCCTTTTCAGATATCTTTGTCAAAACCAACTTGATTTTTTAGCCATACCATAGCTCCTTTTATTTTAAAGGATTGTAAACATGGACGGGAGTCGGGCGCTAGATTTGCGAAGATTCATGAGTAAAAATTACTTTGCAACGTAAGTCTGGGGATCCAAAGCCAATATTAATGAACAAGGAGACATTTGGGTTAAGTTGAATGCACTGTCAAAGTTATCAAGTATCGGAAGTTACCTAGCTCACAATCACAAAATTGTGATTCTCGCAGGAACTTAGACAAGGAGTAGGGATAATCACTGCTACAATGAGACAAAAAATTTGATTTGTTTTTAGAGTCATTTCACTATATCAAGATGTTCATTCTGGGACTAAAAACACAAACCTTTACAAAAAGATTTCAATTGATCTCTCCAGCCACTTTCTATTAATCTAGTTCTTAACAACTCCTTTAATCTGTAAGAAAATTACAAGAAATAAAATACATCCAATTATCAATGATGATTTTAACTTTTATGAAACTGCCAACTTTACAAAAGGATAAAAGTTGGTTGGGCTTTTTTGTTCTATGTATGTTTTTTGATTTTTAAGGAACTGTTTTTGGTCGTATTGCAAATTTTGAACAAGCCATTTCCAAATTTTACCACAATTTAAAAGAGTTAAATGCAATTTTTTTGAAAACACTTATCAGCAGAATGAAAAGAGCTGTTGTCTATGTCCAAAAAAAAATATTAAAAACCAAAAATCAGTAGCATATTTGAGATCAATGACTGACTCATAGGTAATTATTTGTTACAATTCACTAGCTAGGAGAATAAAATGATTTCCTACAACTGACCTGTCTCTTTCTCCAGTCTCTACTAATTTTTGGTTTATAGTTGCTCTCATTTGAGCATCTTTTATTTTTCTTTCTTGCAATCTGAAAACATATCAAAATTTTTTATGTATTTAAACATTAAATAATCATATAAGCTAACTTATTATAAAACCATATTCTCATAAAAATCTGATATAGAAACAAGTGGATGACTAGATTTCATAATCAATGATATGACAAAGTTACATTTTATCTCTTCCACATAGGTTCCCTTCAGCACATAACATACCCACAATAAACTATAATAACTGATCAAAACAAGCATATACTTTGATCACCCATAAAATTTGGTATTTTGCCATGTTTTTAATTAGCATGTACAAGCATTTCCCATTCAATTAGTTCGATTATTAATTAAATATTGAATGATAGCTTGCCATCGATAATCGATCTCAATTTGGCAATCAATATCCAGCCTTAGTCTCTATTGCATTCGCAAGCCAAATTTAACATAATTTCAGTGTATCAAGGGTTGAAATCAATTGTCGAATCGTACCCAAATAAACCTACATACTCAATTTGATAAAAAATCAGATAAAAACTGTGGTCACTATCGCGTTCACTTGCTACATTATGTCAGACAGATGTGAAGTCAGTATATATCTCCCTGTTGGAATGTCGGCTTATAAAAAACATGAAGATTAATTGAAATGAAAGTATAAGCATATTTTGTAGGATTGCAAAAAATCTTGAAGTTGTAGTTTGATACACTTAACAAATTTGAAAGAAATAATCTTTAAGATTATAAAAAATTTTCATTTTAATTTCAAAGGTAGTCAATTGACCTAATTGCTGAATTCATTAGCTTGACCACACAGTCATGCAGTTAGGTAGGGTGATTTTGCAAGCAAGATATCAAAATATCAAGATCAAAATTCATCATGATACCAGCACTGGTATGGGTAGTTATTGTAATGTGTGTGAAGTCTTTTACAATATGGTTTTAAATATCATACAAATTCAATCATAAGATTTTCATCATCATACATATCACAAAAAGATTTTTGAACTCATTTCGATATGAATGAAGAGAGTACCATCTGTTACAAAAGTAAAAAAACTCTTTCAGGTTTAGGACAAAATTTTCAATGTACAATAATGATCACATATCATGGCCGTTTCAGATGAAATTAAAAGACACTCTTTAAAAACGATATATTTATTTATGGTGGTTGAATTGAGATAAAAAGAATAAGGAAAGGGGGAGGGAGGGAGGGGTTAGGAGAAAGGTGGATAGTATTATCAGGACACAAAATCTGTTTTATTATCAAGCATTGCGAGTATCTCTTAAAACAACCTACACCAAGCACTGAGTTCAAACATAATGATCAACAAGTTTAGAAGTGATAAATGATTTTCGGTAAAAAATACAAGTACTTTATATAAATTTGTAATTGGTTAGAATGAGTTAAAACAAAAAAATATATCATAAACAAATTCTTACTCCGCCATCTTGAAATAATATTTTGACCAAACCCGCTCTTCTTTTAGGAGAGTTCGGGAGTAATTATTTTTTTCTAAATCATTTTCCTTTTTCTTCAGCTACAAATTAGCAACCGTATGTGCAGTTTTATAATTTGCTCTATATCCTTGACTAAAAAATAGACAGTACATTTATTATTGACCATTCACGCGTCTTCGTTATAAAATTACGAAAATTTTTAGTACTTCTATGAAATTTAATAAAAGGGGAAGTAATCCACGATATTACAAATTTGATTTTTGGTCAAAGTGACGTCTGGAAATGGGTTCACAAGAGGAATTCGTCTGGTGCCAAAAAAACACAAATTGACTTGAAATCCAGTGGCGTTTTGCCTGAAATGTATGTTACTTGATAAGAGGTATGTATACGAACGCTGATAGGGATAGAGTTCAAAAGAAACATAAAAATTAGCATTTTCCTGGGATTTTTAGTTCCTTCTTACCCTCACGCTCAGATTTTTTTTATTGTTGTTCAAAGGGAAATAACTCCATTGGATTAAATAAGAAGACAGACTGTAGTTAATAAAGCTTTCACTGTTGGTACATAGTGACAGATTACAGTTAGACAACACAATTTTGTGAAGTCATTAGTCTTAGTTTGTGGAACTGTAAGTTAATAACTCACAATCACATGCATGACTTCCTCAGTCAATTCGTGTGACATCAACATTTGCATACATGTGTTGATGAATAAGGTTAGAGGCCTATAGGATCTCCTTACAATTTCAAAGTCAACCTGCGAAAGGCAAAATGAATCTTTGCACCCCCAATTGTACCTCCAATTTTTTGTAAACAAAATTAAAAAAATTGATTATTTGATGTTGAACTTTGCCAAAGAATATGTGTCAGAATGCACTTAATCAAATAATTTTTTCCAAAATTTTCTGAGGAGAATCCTTTCAGACCTCCATGAAAGGCTATGAACAACACGCCTCCACAGAGTTGCTGAATTTTAATTTCAGCCTCTATAGTTCTCTTTCCATTGGTCAGTCTGTTCCCCTATCTGTACCCACACTCTCAGGATGCTGGCGCCACTAATGATTCTATGATATCTAGGCTTAGACCTGTAATTTTATCTTAATCATTAGCATTTATTACAATACAGGTAAACCTAACTGCTAATTTAATTGAACAGTACAGATTTTTAATGATATATATCTTTTCTTACAAATTTGCAGGATAATAATTTATAACTGTTTGTACGGTATTATAATACAGTGTAGATTGAATTATGAAAGAAATATCCTTGAAACTGCCTAACATAATTTGGTTTGAATTAAACTTTAAATGTATTTCTAATGATTCTTAATGACATGCCTTATGGGAAATCTTTATAATATAAATTTCCTCAGTTAAGCTTACACTTTTTTTTTTTCTTTCTTGTAATGAAAAGTTTTAAATAAGTGCTCAAATGAATGCAATAATTTGCTTTTATTGCTGTGGATGTGCATGTTTACTTTTAAGAATGTGCTATAATAGCATATTTTGCAATAAGTGACATCATCAAAAACCTATTATTAGGATCCACAGATGTCTGACTGAAAATTTGAATGGTGAGAATTGATTCCATCAGTTTCCCAGATTCACATAAAAAAAATTTCTTTGCGATCCTTTTAAATTACAAAATCATATTTGAACATCAGTTTCTCCTGCAAAAATTTGACGAAAGTGTACTGTGAAAGTTAAGACTGAAAAATTCAATGGAATAATTTATCATTCATTATGTCTTATGACAACATGATATTAACAACATTTGAATTTGATAACAGAAAGTGACAAAATGGTCAACAGGTTTTGGAAGGAGGATTTTAATTCTTAACTTAAGCTGCTAACACAATATTTTGATATGTTAACAACAAATTGAAATGCTTAAGTGTAAGTGGAATAATTGGTAAAATAGGGAAAAAAAACTATTATTTCGTTAGAGAGCTTAAAGCACATTATATAAGCTAATGTACCACAAAATTGTTACATGAAGTACAAAATTATTATTAATGGAGCAGACTCAACATGTAATAACCAGTTTGATATCATACTGATTCTTATCAGGATAATTATATTGAACAGGTATACTTATAAGGGATTGTCACTAATCGCACAGGGCCTTAGCGAAGGGTCTTTTGTGAATAGTGACATCCTAAAACACTCAGTTCAAGTGGAATTGCAGGAACCACATACATCTGATTGAAAATTAGAATCCATGTTATCAGCATCTGTAAAATTTAGAATACTTCTTTACAATCCTTTTTATGAATAGTATATTATTTGTGATTGTGACACCTTAAATGTCTATCAACCTCAGGTTTGTCAACAATTGAATGAAAACCAATTGTGAGTTCATTAGTTCACATTATTTTATTCAATCTCAACTGTCTGTTAGCAATCTTTAACTGTCTGTCTTCTAACTTTAATGTTTTTTTGGTCGGTGTTCTGTTGAACCAGATGTCAGATTTGAATTTAGCATAGGTGGCTGAAATGAAATAGGTAATTACAGCTGTGAATATTTAACTAAATATACTCAAAATAATAAATTCTTTCTATGAAAAGTAAGATATTTTGAGAACAATAATATTGTTGAATTCATGCTACACTGCCTTAGATGCCAAACTTGAGTCATTGTTATAGTTTTGTTATGTTTAATATAAGACATATTGTGCAACTAAAAATGTACTTTGTACCTTGAAATATTGTTTAAGTTACAAAATAGACTATATCTGTACAGGAAGTAGGTGATTAGCTTTAACAGGTTTTGGTGATAACTATGTTTGATCTTCAAGATACTGACAATTTTTAAACAAATATTGAAATGTTACAGTAAATAATGCATAGAGGTCAACTGTCTGAAAGAAACAACAATTTCTTTTAGAAATGAAATGAAAGGAATCGAGTTTTACATCCCGCTCTGCTGCATCTAATTAAGCTAGTAAAGACAGTTTTGCTAAGACAGCTGCATTCTTATTATTGAGTTATAGTAGATAAAACTTTTATTCATCAAAAGTGTATATATGCTATTTATCATCTGATTTACAAATATTTGTAACATATGTACAGGTGTTTTAATGATTTAAAATTAAAAAGTTTCATGGTTAATAAACATATTTTTATTCGCCCACATGAAATGGGGGGCGTATATTGCTGTCACCTCTTTCCGTTGGTCGGCCCGTCCGTCGGTCCACAATTGCTCGTAAACACTCTACAAGGCACAATTCTTGACTGATTTCGATGAAACTTGGTATGGTTGTTTTTAATCACCCAAGGATGAACCCTATTGAAAATCAGACGAATCGAAAAATATTTACTATGAGTTAATGCCCTTGTTCTTGAAACGCTCGTAAACACTCTAGAAGGTGCAATTCATGACGGATTTTGATGAAACTTGGTATGAGTGTTCGTTATCGCCCAAGAATAAACCCTATCGAAAATCAGAAAAATTGAAAAATATTTAGTATGAGTTATTGCCCTTGTTCTTGAAAACCCGTTCAATTTTAGCTTGTAAACACTCTAGAAGGCACAATTCTTGATGGATTTTGACAAAACTTGG